CCCTGTCAATCATTGTTATAAGCTCTGCCCATTACACCTGGCAGTCAGTATAGAGAGAGCTGCCTCCATCTTAGCTCCCTGTCAATCATTGTTATAAGCTCCGCCCTTTACACCTGGCAGTCAGTATATAGAGAGCCACCTCCATCTTAGCTCCCTGTCAATCATTGTTATAAGCTCTGCCCATTACACCTGGCAGTCAGTATAGAGAGAGCTGCCTCCATCTTAGCTCCCTCTCAATCATTGTTATAAGCTCCGCCCTTTATACCTGGCAGTCAGTATGGAGAGAGCCACCTCCATCTTAGCTCCCTGTCAATCATTGTTATAAGCTCCACCCTTTACACCTGGCAGTCAGTATAGAGAGAGCCACCTCCATCTTAGCTCAATGTCAATCATTGTTATAAGCTCCACCCTTTACACCTGGCAGTCAGTATAGAGAGAGCCACCTCCATCTTAGCTTCCTGTCAATCATTGTTATAAGCTTCGCCCTTTATTATTATTATTGTGACAGACCCATCCATATGAACTAAGATTGCTGTGTTCGTCTATTTGCCTGTTTCACGAACTCACCCATTCGTATGCCTTTAGGTGAACTTACTTTTTTACCGAACAAAACTGTCGAACGGACGGCCACCCAGAAGAGAAGTGTGCTGCTGGTTAACCTATTGATCCCAATTAGAATGTTGCGGTTAACCACAGACACTTCTCAATTAAAACCGAATACAGGGTGGTCGTCGTTCGTATGTCATGGAACTGCAAACTGATGCCGTCTACCTCCCTTCTCCAATCGACAAAAGTATGCGAACACCGGCTGTTTGGGAGATGTAAAGGCACGAATGGACTTACCGCAGATAGCCTTCCCATGGAGTCAATCACATACCAAAGAACTGTAATAGACTTTGACTCCATGGCGATTGAACTATGCGTATGGGATCTGAGCGCTATTCGACAATAATATGCACTCAGATCCAGGCTATCTGGGGATGTGTTACACGAATGAGAAACGTTCGGCAGTTATAAAGTTATATATTTTTATGTGTTTTGTGTATTTAAAATGGCGATTTGCCTCTGCTCTGGAAGATAATTGAATTACTTCTCAATTATCTCCCGAGCAGAGGGGAGGAAACTGTGATGCATGCTGGGAATATTGTGTGATTGTATGTCTGAAATGTCCCCATGTCCATCTGCTATTCCAGTCTCCCATTTGGTCCCCTAGGGGAGTGTCCACCAAGTGGGAGACCTGCATAAATACGGGCGGGTAGCCCACAGTAAACTCAGTTCGTGTTTTACCCTCAATGCAGAGCTTGATCTCGTTATTGGGGGGATTTTATTACCGGCGACTAGAGACTGCTATTTGGAATTATTTGCCGCTTGGAAGATATTGGCGTTCGGCTGATATTGGCAGTTCGTGAGCTTGTGGCTAGTGAAGGGAAGGAGCCGTACGGATACCGTTTGGGAGTTTGGAGTGTTCCCTGGCTGGCGGTTCGCATGGTTGTATTGCATACGCTTACAGACAACATTATTGCGAACGGGGAGCATTCACTAAACGGCGGTTTGTACATTTCATGCTGAAGGTACCGTAACAATTATTATTATTATTATTATTGTTATTATTTCTATAGCGCCAACAAATTCCGCAGAGCTTTACAATGGGTGGACGAGCAAACATGTAGTTGTAATAGTTGTAACAAGTTGGACACACAGGAACAGAGGGGTTGAGGGCCCTGCTCAATGAGCTAACATGCTAGAGGGAGTGGGGTAAAATGACACAAAAAAAGGTAAGGATAGTATTAGACTAGTGACAGTTGCAGAAGAGGAATCAGTCAGGAGCTATTAACAGTTTAATTGATACGCTTTTATGAAGAAGTGGGTTTTTAATTAATTTTTTGAAGGAGTGGAGACTGGATAAGCATCTAATGGAGGAAGGAAGTGAGTTCCACAGGAACGGTGCAGCCCTTGAGAAGTCTTGAAGGCGAGCATTAGAGGTGGGAGTACGGAAAGCAGAGCGTAAAGGACTAGAAGGGACATACTTGTGCATTAGGGAGGATAGATAGGAGCATTATGTAGAGATTTGAAAGCAAGAACCAGAATTTTGTGAAATAGTCCTTTGAGTTCGCGGGAGAGTGTGGTTAGGAGGGTATTGAAATCATTTACTTTTGCAGAGAAAAGAGCTAAGCTGTATGAGCGCAGCATAAATTTATAGTGGAGAAAGTCAGACACACAGTGAGACTTTCTCCAACAGCGTTCATTTTTAGAGGTATCGAGTCATCTTGGTGTGCCAAGGTGGTTGTTGGGGGCGCTTGCTGCATTTAAATGTAGGAGGTGCCATGATGTCTAGTTGAGAGGAGAGGGTGGAATTGTAGTAGGAGGTTGCAGAGCTAGGACAGGTGAGTTCAAAACAGGAGAGAGATATTCTGTCCAATGGCCTATGTTGAAGTTAAAATATAACTTTTAATACACACTTTAAAAAGCTAGAAAAAAGACTAGCTATAATTAAATCACACAAAGTCTACTAAACCCCAAAGTAGGGGGGGTTGGGGGTAAACGAGGGGTAAAGGTGGGGAAATATATACAAAAGATATATAAGCTACCAATGTCGCTAAGTATATATCTAAAGCAGGCCGTGGGGAGACAAGAATAATCTCTCCACAGAAGATGGGCTAAGAACTAATATAAGCATTGAGTACATTGTAGCGATAGCTCCATCGTGGTAGTCTAGTTGAGACAAGGTATCTATGTAATCAGGAAAATACAGGAAACCTGAAAGTATCTAAATCTGGAGGAAGGAGATATGTATAACACTGTAGGGAGATTGCTGACAATATATAGTTGTAGTACAAGACACTCAAGCCCAATGTGGTAAGAGAACGCCACTGAAGTATATCTTCAAAGGAAAATAAAAATAAATATAGATTAAACACAGAGGGATTACAGCTAGTGTAAATATAAATATCATGAGAGCCTTATGCTGGCACCTATGTATAGAGAGTACATCTGGGCCTTCAAGGGCACCTAAATCAGAAAAATAATTATATAATAATTTTAACGAAAATTTTCATCTGGTAAACAGACCTAAGGGCTAAAGTAGCCGAGGAATTGATACCCTATCTGTGCGGTCTAGAGGTCTGACCGGACAGTAAATCTGGGTAGCGTGCTGCAGAGTAGCATGGGTATAATATCCAGGTCAAGTATAAGCATGAGATGATTGATTAGCTGCAGAGTTAAGCTACACACAGGAGCCCCGATGCGCGTTTCTTCAGGGGGTAACCAATACCCAAGGGCGCCCAGTTTAAATAGGGCGCCAGTGAAACTGATTGGTCAAGGGGAGAAGCTATTCAGGTAAGGAAAGCTCCTACGGAGTCAGAAGAGACCCAAAAGTGTTTAAATCTAAAAATCAAAGTCATGATCTGTTAAAGGACTAGCAACCAAACCAATTAAGTGTCTGGAGATATGCCTTGTTCTCAACCACATCCCGAGAAGCAATCAGCAAAGATACTAGGTTTATGTCCTTGCCTTCCAGGATGTATTTACGTATGGTAGGGCATACAAAGTGGGCGGGTGTGAAGATATGAGTGGGGAGTGGGAGCCAGAGTGGGGGTCGGTATGGGTGAGATCACTGACGATTTCTGAGGGGATTCCAATTTGTCCAGCCTAATGCTGATCGTGTTGATAAAGGTCAGGAAAGACGACATCAAGCCCTTGATCTT